AAGAGCAAAATCAAAAGGTAAAACATTCTAATGAACAATTTTCGTTGAAATGATTGACATCCAATTTTTAAAAAACACCTTGGATTTTTTAAAAAAAAATTTCCCTTGTACGATGGATGATAAATCTAACCCAATTAATTGAAAAAATGAAAAAAAAACTCGCGTTTTCTTTTTCAGTAAAAACCTTCTTTTTTTCCCTATCATAGATAATTATCATCATTATTTTGTATTCTAGAAAAATAATACTTGTAAACATGTGCATTACAAAAGTAATCAGTCATATTACAAACATTGAGGAAACACCTAAAAATGATTCTTTCTTAATGAATGCTATTGGAGTAGTTAGCACCACATTTCGAACTGAAGGATTGATGTCACATTTAATAATTTTTTACCCAAAAGATCCTTCAGTTGAAACTAAGATTCAAAGAATCAAAAAAGATGATGTTGTGAGAGTAGCTGGAAAATTTACTATCGAAGAAAAAATTATTGAAGATCACCAAGTTACTTTCATTAAAGTATTTATTTATTTCATTTTTATTGCTAATACTAACGATTAATTAACTATTCTTACGTCAAATTAATATTAAATAAAATTTTTTAGATTGCAGTAACCAACCCAAAAAAGGAAACAAAATGGTCGTAAAGGCGGTTGCAATCATTTTTATATGACGCAAAGTTGGTATTTACTGCCATTAGACATTATTGTTATAGTAAATGGAACTGTGATGGAAATTCCATCTATTTCTGAAACAATAGTCAAATTCGAAATTAATTCATCAGTTTATATCGAAAAGAAAAAAAGTGGATATTAAATGCTTATCACAAAACAACGGAAAAACATCTTGAACCAATTTCAAAAAAATTAAATCGTGGTCACTATTTTTCTATCTGGAAACCTAGAATTAGTGAATGGATTAAAAATGATACAACTAACATCACTATCTTTTGTTAATTCAACCAACTCTAATACCATGTTTAGATAACCAAGTTTCAACAACATTTATAAAAATTAATCCTTCAGTTGCAAAAATTGCTCAACAAATTATGGATAATAGTAGTTCAACCAATGAAACCAAGAAAAGAAAAGAAAAGAAACAAATACTTTAAAATCAAGAAATATCAAAATTCCAAAATTAGCACAATTAGCAGTATCATTTATAAAAGACGTTTTCATTTTACTGATGATTATATTTCTAATGAATTTGATATACAAAATTTGAGTGATGAAGGAAGTGATGAAGGTGATTATGATGAAGTAATAACTCCATTGATTAATCAATGGAATTATAAGATCAATAATGATTTATTATTTTTAATTTTGGAAGAAAACAAAAACTATACAATTAATTGGTCTGATATAATTCCTTCTGTACAAGACATACTACAGCTACAGTTGAAGTTGAGAATAACATTGTGAAAAAGATGGACATAAAAAAAAGAAATTTACCAATAGATCAATACATCACTATTCGAGTTGAATCAATTAAATCAACTCAAAGCCTAATTGCAGAGAAATTATTAAATACACAATAAAGGTAATTGAGAAATTATTGCATATTATTTTATTTATTTATTTACTTATTTATTTTACTGCTATTTTTAGTGATAGAAGAAGAAATGAGGTATCTACAAATGGTGATCCAAGTGAACAGTGGGAAAAAAAGAAAAAAGAAACAACTCACAAAAGCAGAAAAGGTTCTTCTTGAAAGATTCAAATCTGTAGTGGATTGTCATAGAAGAATTGTAGCAATAAGTCAAAAACAAATTGCTCAAGATATTTGTATGGAATCTGAAGTCAAAATTGGCCTCGACCAATCAATGGTATCAAAAATGTATATTGGTATAGATGTACCAAAATGTAATAGTGTATAAAGTTTAATGATTTTTAATGTTGCAAATTTTTTTGATGTCAATCTCAAAATCAATCATGTTTATATACTTT